CACGGCTTTGACACTAACAGAAGGACAGTCTGCAAAGGTGCCTGATCTGTGCCAAATCTACACAAAGGGAAATGTTATATTAGTTACTCTGTTTGGACAGCTCCGAGAGCCTAACGGGAGTTTTCCAAACAGGCACCTTTGTTTGCCTCTTGAATTTGTATCTACTAGACTTCCTCTTAAAGTTATACATTAAATAATAAGGTATACCATCAAATTGTTGTTCTTGCTGTTCCATGATTTTTTCTGCAATACTTTTGCTCTAATAGGCAAACAACATTTCCATATAGGCGTAGTTTACTCTCTAGATACATCAAATATGCATAACAAATTGTCTCGATAGGAACAGGATGTTGGAAATGGATTTCAAAGTGCTTTTAATTGTTGTGTATTTCAGGGTTCATCAACCTTAGCAACTTTAAGATGGGTGGACTTCAACTCCCAGAATTCCCCAGCCCAGAATTCCTCATGCTGGCTGGGGAATTCTGGGAGTTGAAGTCCACCCATCTTAAAGTTGCTGAGGTTGAGGAACCCTGGTGTATTTGACCCCTTGAAGTAAGGCACAATGTTAACCACACAGACCTTAATTCCATGCACATTATCTTTGTATGATGTAAATGAGACTTACCATGGAGCATCACTAAATATAACTGCTGTGTTTACATAATACGCTACACTCAAAGCATCATGTCCATGCGATGGCCTGCTTTACACCAACTGTTGAGACAATGGCTGAGTTCCCACTGCATGATGAACCATGAACAACTCAATGACTCAACCTATTTTAGTTTAGTCAGGTGTGTTTGGAAAAGTCAAGCTAGGTTTTAAATCCAAAGGACTTCAGTGGGATTTCAACAGAAGATGCACTCCATTACAGATGGACCAGAGAGCAATCAGAGTGCAACTTTAGTCTATTTACTCAGAATTAAGCCTCAGTAAAGGACTATTTCCTATGAAATACTAGCAAGTTCAAAGGAGGGGTGAAAACCTTTTTTGGGTCAAGAGCTGCAGACCAGTCTACTGAAGACCCCATAACAAGTAGACTAAAGTAAAAGTAAATAGGACACATCATTTCTTGATCAACCCTTTTCTTCCATTCTGATATTAGCTTTTTTCTCTCTCTCACTTTTCTTCTCTTCCAACCAGCCAGATACAGGAAAAGGACAAACCGCTGTTATAAGAGAAACGTGAAGGGTTGGATGGCATCAGGCCTAACCCTAGTAACTGCATGGAATAGAAACTCTGTCAATACCCGAGGCAGATATAATAGAGATTTCTAGCCCCTTAATCCAAACTTTCTGGCAAACAGCAAGCAGTGCTCTCAAACTTTCTGTGCTGTGCTATTCCTTCCGATTTAGGGATGAACAACCTGTTTCATTTTCTAGAGCATTTGCAATTTTTTCAGGCAGAGTTTTTTCTTTCCGGATTGTCTCAGTTCCTGATAACTTGGCAAGTTGCAGAGAAGTGTAAAAGCCAAAGGATAACTTTATTTTGGATCCCAGATTAGTGCCGCAACGGTTAATTAGATGAGGTTACATAAAAATGTGAATCAAGTTCATTTCATTCCTTCCCTATTATCTTAGTATGCAATAACTATGAACTGAAGATACTCTGGCAAACCTAAAGACCAATCCATAAAAACATTAGATGTGTGCAAAGTACATCACTCCACAGATGGATCCTTTCACATTCCATTTTCCTCTGAAAACACACCAATCCAGCTCTTTCTTAGTTAATTCACAATTCTTTACAAGTTAATCTCCATAATAAGAAGTGATTCATGATCACAAATCCCATACAGTCGTTTAGAGCCAGATCATATCAAAACAGCACAACCCTGTTCCAGAAGCTGTCTGGGGGAACCTGGAGCATTCCAACCCTAACATTCCCTATTAAGACCATCAGGGAAGCTACAAGTGGTCATCTCCAAGCCCAGCACAGGCTCAAATGGACAAGATACACACACCATTACCACCATTAGGCAAAATAAAAACACAACTGTCACAGGCAGGATCCATATTGGTTACATGGGGATCTCCAGCTATGGTCTCAGGTCCTCAAAATTCAAAACAACTGAAAACACTTGACAACTTCCAGCAACACATGGCATCAGACCAGAATCTGAACATCTGAATCTTTCCTAGAAAAAGCCATAACAGGGAAGTGAAATGTAAAATGACCACTAGAAATAACTCAGCAATTGTCCAATACCGAGAGATTTAGTATTATCTTATATCAAAAACATAAGTATCCATTCAGCAACATGAGTGTTACCTTAATTCAGAGGGGAACATTTTGATTTGAGTTGCTTTGTTTCATTGATGAGCCATTAAAATCCAGCCTTCTATTTAAAGCCAAGTCACATTAAGCAACCAGGAGCTAACTATAGGTGAATGAGATGGCTAGCCATCACTTAGCAAGCTCTATTCCTAACTATGGCCCTACAGGTCTGACTCACCATAATGCTTTCTTACATCAGCTAGGAAGAAATCCAGGTTCAAATTATGAAATTAGCCTGCAAGTAAGCTTTTTGCTTCACTCTCCTTGAAAGTATTTTGAAAGCTTCACTTGAAACTTGCAGACAAGAATGATGACTTGAAAGCTGAAACATCTTCAGATTACTAGATGACAAAATTATACTGAAAGTATAAACAACAGATGGTAAATTTCTCCCATAGGGAATTCTAAAAGGTGTGGAAACCCCCCTTAGGACCAGACGTGGCTTCCTTGGGCTTCACAAGTAACTTTGTACTATTCCATCTGAAACCCTGATTCTGGGTTCTCAGCTCTTTAGATGCCTGCTTGACTCCTTTCAGTCCTAAGCCCTGACTGGCAACCAAACTAGCAAACTATGGCTTCTCACAGACATTGGTGTTCTGAAAATTTGTTGCTTGCACTTTAGGTCTCTGAGAAGCTGGAATGTTGGTGGAGATTCCATACTATCTCATCAGCTCAACCACCGTCAAAGTCTTCAGCACAGTAAAAAATTGTGTTTGCTCTGGAAAATAGATCCCCATTCAGGCATGTAGCCCAGAAAACACTGGTATAACCCCTGCAAACTCAATTAAAACATGACAGTAACCATGAAACAAGGTGCAGTAGAGCTTGATTCAATGCCTATTGACTCCCTAAGATAATGTTTTTGAGCTTCTCCTTCTTCCCCACCCTCCAAATAATGCTCTTCTCTGCTTAAGAGACAAACTAGCATTTTCAGTGGCCAAGCAGAGTTCCAAGTTGATTACATTCTCCTTCTTAGCAGCTGAGAAAGCAGGTGTCCGGCAGAATAGGAGGAACCTAAAAAGGGAAAGGCACTTACAAGGCATTAAAGGAGCTTACTAGATGATCTCACCTGCCTTACGCAGGCTTTCCTTCTCAGCTACCTACGCAAATTTGCATCTTGTAAAATTAATCACTGGCTGGCTGGTACACTGGCTGGGAAAACCCCAGCGTGTTACTGATGCCCTAATTTACAGAACCTGGGTGCTGCTTCTGAAATTGAATCTCAGACACCTGCAGGTGAGCAGATGGAAGCAAGAGACTGCAGGTGGATCCCCCCTGCCACAGAAGTCTGTGAATCTGAATGACTGGGGGGGCATGGGAAACAAAAGGCAGGCTCTATTAGAAATGGCCCATCTCTCCAATCTAAAATATATATATATATATAAGGCAAGCCATATCCAGAATAATATTTCTCAGAGAAATCCAGTCTACGCATAGATTTAAATGCTATGAACATCTAGAGCTACTCCTAAACCAGCCTCTCCGGGCCTGATTTCCCTCTCTCTCCTCCTCCTACCATAACAGTCAATGCATGGTGTAATGTATATACTATTTTTTTTCAGCAAGATAGCCCTTTCTCAAAGAAGTGGCAAGATAAATTGATGGTGGGACCCAGCAAGGAAGAGAACTAGAGGCCAGGGATGTTGCTTCAGCAGCCATTCAAGACTCTTTCCTGACCATCCCTTTAATTCCAGTTTTATTTCTAAGCTTCTGGTCCCCAGGAATGTGACAGGATCACAACATCAGCAGCAACAGTAGTAACATTTCACAAGATGGTTGTTAGTGAGTAAAAACTGGAATGCTAATTTTTATCACCTTATTTATCCAGCAAGTTTATAAGGGTGGGGAACAAAAAAGAAAAACATAATACACAAATCAATTAAAAGAGTTGCAATGAGACCCCATTGTCCACATATTCCACACCCTCCACACTGGGCTCTATTAACACCCCCAGCCAGGTTTTCACCATGTTCTGGAAAGGGTTGGGGAAGCTGTTCCATAACACAGATGCCACACCAGAGAAGGCGCCTTGAGATTCAGAGGAAGAGAGGCTCTAAATCCAGAAAATAAATAAAATAAGTAATTATGGAGGCCAGGGAAAAGCCTGCATTTCTTTGTAGTGGATTTCAGTTTTATTGTTGTTGTTCAGTCGTTGTGTCCGACTCTTTGTGACCCCATGAACCACATCGCGCCAGGCCTTCCTGCCCTTCACTGCCTCCCTGAGTTTGC